TTCTCACGCACTTAAGGAAAAATGATCTGATTATTATCATCGATAAATAAAATGACTCGATTGTAATTTTCTAACACGTGATAGCTCAATTATAAAATTGTTTATAGTACCTATGGTGTAATTTACCCTTTTCAAATTAAGTCATCGCGTGTTTTTTAACTTTTTTTTTTTCATGCGACCCCTGCACTCTACCAAAGGTCACCAATTGCTAAAATATGATAAAAAACGACGACATTGGCAAGGCGGATCTAGACTTTTTTTTCTCTTAGTTTGCTGACAATAAATTTAGAGTAAAACAACAGAAGAATGGAAATTCAAACGACATTGATTGCTTACTTTGGTTAATGACTGCTTGCTAAAAATTAATAAAGTTAACCAAGTTCTATCATCTCCTACGATGATGGCTTCATTCGGTTTCAGTTGTCCAACAAGCACTTTGCTTTTCTCTCCATCTGTCGTTACCCATCGAAAAGCCTTGCAGAGTCGTTTCATTGCCAGCTCCAGCGCTAGCAGCAGTGAGCTGATGAGTAAATCATCAGTTAGTGAAACGATTGAAAGGCCAAGAACAAGCTTGCGGTTGAAGAACTTGACCGAGATTTTCTGGGTTGATGTTCATAGTGCTGAAGGGAGACCACTGAATGTTGGGCTTCAAGAACCCGTGACCATCGGGTGTTCTACGCTTGAACAGGTTGAGAATGTGGCTGTCCGAGTTGAACTCAGCAATGGGTGTGTTGGGTGGGGTGAGATTCCAGAGGTTCCATGGGTTAACTGGAGCCAAACTACTGTTCTTGAGAAAGTGAGAGAAGCTTGTGAATTCCTTAGCCGGAGACCTCCAGTGACTTTGAATTTGCTTTTACATCAGATTTCAGAAATGTTTCCTGGTAGCCAGTTTGCTTCTGTAAGTATGTTATCAATATGTACTAGCATTACAAGAACCTGTCATTTAACCAAGTATTTTGTTCAGTCGGCTTTGTATTGGATCCTTCTTATGATTTCAACCTGTGTATGAAGGTTAGAGCTGGATTTGAAATGGCATTGATTGATGCAGTTGCTAATAGCATTGATGTGCCCCTATGGAGATTGTTTGGGGGAGTCTCCAATTCCTTGTCCACTGCTGCTACAGTTAAGTAAATGCATATGGTTTTTGAATTCTTTGTTTTTAGAAGTTCACATGATTAAAAAGTCTTAGAGGACCATATCTTCGTATTATATGAATATGTGTTGATCGTGAATATCGGATTCAATTACGAACAAATGAAATAGAACCAACATAGCACATTACACTACAAAGACTGTCTCAAGTATCAGTTTCATGGTTGCGATGGAGGCTAATAATTTCCATGTATATAGATTCCAACTACTTCCTCGGCTAAAGCATTCGATCTGGATGCTAAATATTGCAAACTAGGATTCACCACATTGGAGATTAAACTAGGAAGGAGCCTGAATGCAGATATTGAAGTTCTTCAAGCAGTGAGAGCAGCTCACCCTCATTGCTTATTTATCTTAGATGCAAATGAGAGTTGCACTCTAAAGGAAGCCATTGAAGTTCTAGACAAACTAAACGGTAAGGAATTTTCAAACATGACAAGTTATATTACAATAAGATAATGATCTATGTTACTTTGAGTTGAGTGAGAGTGTCCGGCACGGACATCTTCTATTTTTTCTTGGATTTTCATGTATTTGGAGGGTCCTCCTTGAAGGGTAGTATCCTGTTTCCATACCTAGATATGCATCAAAAACGAATATTTAAAGAAAAAAATTGAAGAATCAAATGACAGTTTGTTGTATGTTGTTGACTTAGTTGAATTCATCTTATCGCAGAAAAAGGGGTGACGCCAATACTCTTTGAACAACCAGTTCACAGAGATGACTGGAGAGGCCTTGGTGATGTGAGTAATGTTGCAAGACATAAGTATGGGATATCTGTTGTAGCAGATGAATGTTGCAGAGATTTGACTGACATTCAAAAACTTACTGAGGAAAATCTTGTGGATGTTGTCAACATTAAATTATCCAAATTCGGGATTTTTGGTATCCTTGAAATTGTTGAAATGGGTAAAAAATCAGGATTGGAACTTATGATTGATAGTGTGGCCGAAACTAGACTTGCCACTGGTGTTGCTGGTCATTTAGCAGCTGGCCTTGGTTGCTTCAAGTAAGTATTCCTCTCCATTCCTTTCTTCTAGGAATTGTAACTTGCATTTGTTGTTATCCTATGTTGTTCGGATAAGTGTGAGAGTTGAATATGAGTATATACCCTCGTATTCATATATTTGAAATGCTTTTGGAGTGTTGTTTCATTATGCTCACATTTGAAAATATGGCGGATATAATATCAGATACAAATACTCCAAAAATAATGAAGAGATGGAGCAACATCAATGTCATCTATTGCTTGTATATGTATGTGAATAGTTGACATTAGTGTTACTCCATCTCTTTATTATTTGTAAAAGTTCACTCTAAAAATATGAGGATGTATCCTCGTATTCATATACGCCTTATTTCGTTCTTTTGGGAATAGTGATTTACATGTGATATTGCTGGATTTGGATGTGAATATCAAACATGGATATGTATTTTTACATATCCATATATTTAGAAGGTTTTTGGAGGGTCATATCCTCGTATCCATGTTTAAACATGTGCAGATATGGTAACATACACAAATACTTTAAAATTGAGAACCAAACGAACATAAATATTATACATTGCTTAAATCTAGAAGTTTGAAGTAAACAAGTAAAAAATTCAAACAAATTAAAGTATTACGTTCTGATGCAACTTTGTTTGCAGATATGTTAATATCAGTGCACCCATTTTGTTTTCAGAAGATCCAGTTGTGGGGGGTTATGAAGGTACGGTTTCTTTTATTTCTGGAACTCATTTGTCTTTTAAGTGTATGGTTTATACGCGATATGTTTTCTTTCGACACTGGTATGGTTATTTTTCTTTTAAGTTCTTTCGTGTATTTAGAGAATTCTTGAAGATCATATGCCTATATTCTTGTGTCACATACGAGTGTTGAACAAGTGTACTTAAAATAATAATAATAATAACAGTGTGAACATGATAGCTTCAAAAACATATGATTAACATGTTCAGCCTTAGCTGTGCTAGTTTCTGGTTCAAATTACAAGTTTGTCAATAGGAGAGGGCAAGGAGGTTTTCTCAAATGGAATTTTCTTTCATGGTGAGCTTACCTTTGAATAAGAGTATGTTGCTAATCCGGATATGTCGAGTATTGTGCAGAAATAGACTGGATTTTGCAGTGGAGTGGGATATTTCAATGGTTATGTGCTTCACAAGTATGCAATATCCCTATGTATCATTAGGTAAATAATGTATGAATATGAAAATATGAATTATTGTAATAAGAAATTGAAATAGCTCAGTGGCGAATCCAATGGAAACATTGCAGTGCTCCTGCAGTTTAAATCTCTCATTCCTGTATCTATTAAAGTTTTTCCACAATTTATTAATGGTTTTTGAACTCCAGCATAATTCATATGATTAATACAACCTACTTAACCCATGTTGTTTGGTGTTGAAGACATTGATACATGTTACATATTCTCCGGATTTCCTCTATCAATAACCTCTTCAACAATTGAGGTCTCTCGAATAAGAGGAGTCACTCAAAGGATCATCCTTTCGATAGTTACATTCTATTGACAAGGCATTTAACATGTCCATGTTATCTATCAGGGATATGTTAGAGTCAAATCTATTGTCAGAGGGTAGTAATCATTCAATCTAATTATCACCGACCGTCACAAACCAAGTGTTACACTGCAATACATCATATGCAAATGGAGCCAAGTCTCAGATTTTTACCCATTTGAAGCAGATGTGATCCAATTACATCAACCGTTTATTAGGGGTGTTCAAATCTAAGTATTTGTACTTTCGGCTACTCGGGATTTTCAAGTCACAAAAATTCGACCCATGACTCGGCCCGTAAGAGATGGGTACTCGTAAGTTGGGTACTTATAATATTCGGGTACCCACATTTTCAGATCACGAGTACACTGTTAATATTTATTCTATTTTATTTTTAAAATATATTAATTTTTTTAGAAAAAATCACTTAGAAAAAACATAAATTTTAAAACTTAAAACTTTAAATACATAACACAAACATAAAATTTATAAATCCAAGTTATATAACTAAAATAAAATATAAAATTATAAAATTACAACTAAATTTAAAATAATTTAGAATTTAAATAAATAATTTAAATGTTAAGGTGAAATAATTTGAAAAAAATATGGATTTAAAATGTTAGGGTAAAATAATTTTGAAATAAAAAATAAAAAAAAATCTAATTTAAAATAAAATACTAATAAAATCAAAAAGGGAAATTGGGTGGCAGATCGACGGGTACCTATTAAGGGTAATTTTGTGATCCAGGCTCGATCCAAAAACTTGTAAAAAATAACGGGTCGGGTACTCGGCCCATAAAATAAAATATTTACCTCTAAAATATCTGATAATTTTATACGGAATCAACGGATTAAAGAGTCAAACAGTTTAAGTCGAGTATTTTTGAACAACACTACCGTTTGTTGACTCCTGCATCCCACCACGTTTTTCCAAGCCTTGAGAAAGCTCCATGCAACTTCATGTGGCTGAATTGCGTTTAAGTGTCTCCATCTTTAGTTTCCTTTGTTTCGTTTTTCTCCCTAGACTCCGAACACTTCCCGTAATGAAAGTCCGCATTTACATTTAATAGCAACTGTGACTCGCTGGACACGACACGGCCCAGACTTTGGAAAAAATATACCACACTCAAAGTCTCTTTAAGTCAACTGCTCTCTATTCCAAATTCTCTCTACTCTTTCTTCTTTTTTTCACTTTCGGTTTCCTTCAAATTCCACAAGAGCTGAGCTGAGCTTAGCAAAGCAAAGCAGAGGCAATCAAACCTTTCTTCCATCTCTGCTCTGACAAACAAAATGACTTGCCTTTCTTTCTCATCGTCTCTTCTACTCTTATGTTTTCCCTATTGTTCTTCATGTCTGGTTTTCCTGTTTCACACAGCAATCCTGAAATTTACCTACACTGCCACGATGCATTGTTCGAATGTGGGAAAATCTCCGTCGGATATCCTTTCTTCGGAGGTAATCGAGGACGAGAGTGCGGGCTACCTGGTTTGGAGCTTCTCTGTCACGATGCTACTGATACTACCACCATTGAAATCGCTGGTGTAAAATATCAGGTGCTGGACATCAGCCGCGAACGCCAAACCCTAACGATTGTGAGGGAGGATTTGTTCAAACATGACTTTTGTAGACTTCAAACACCAATCCGAGATTTCGTTATGGATTCAGAGCTGTTTGATCCTGCTCCTGGATATACCACCAATGTTACCCTGTCTTATGACTGCCCATCTTCAGTCCCGTCGAATCTTGGGCTCTTCCATTGCGATGATTCAAAATACAACAGTGTTTCCGTAACTACAGATGTTGTCGGCGCAGATGGATGTTCAGCTCGTGTTACTTTTCCGATTGCCAATCCTTCCGGGGGAAGATTTCAGTTTCACAACGAATCTCACCTGCTTTCAGAGGCATTGAAAAAAGGGTTCAAGGTGAAATGGAAGTATACCCCAACAAATGGTGGAAACACGTATAGCCAAGGTACGCACCTTCCACTTTTACACCTAAATAAGTTGTTCTAGAATTATGGTTACTATTTTCGTTTTAAAATAATAGATTTAAACTGAGGCGTTACTCAAAATCGATATGGTAATCTTATAACTACAATACAAAATATAAATTCGGGAAATAAAAACGTTCAAACATCCTTATTACGGTTGTTAGAGTTCAAATCTAGAAGTTCTAAGAATAATAATAATTCTTTTAATCATTTATATAATTTATTAAGTGGTGTAGTTTAATATTTTATATATGTGTGTGAGAAAGAGAAAGAAAGTGAATTAACTTTATTCATAACTAATAAAAAATGTCAGATTAAAATTGATTTGAACCAACTTAGAACACTCATCTCGTCCATTGGTAAATTGGACTCTTTTCAAATTCCACAGCTGATTAATATATTTACATTTAGGTTTATTTGAAAAATAAAATAGTTTTTTTTATTTATGTAAAGCTTTTTCATTAAAATAAATAATACATATTTTTTCAGTGAAAAAATTAAGTGTTCAAAGTTTACAAAAACAAATATCTAATTATATTTCTTTTTATTTTAGGTTATTAATTTTTTATCAAATTTTTATTGAATATTTTTTTGACTAGAGAGTCTTGGAATTTAGCCAACTCGTTGTAGATTTGGTGTAGGGAGGGCCTAAACCTAAAAACAAAATAAAATTTTATGCATTTATTTTAATTAAAAGAAAACTTTTTAAACATTTAAATGAGAAGATATATATTTTTTAAATAAGCTTTATATTTATTATACAATTATAACTTTTTATTATTTAATTAAACTAAATCCACTTTCATTTATTATCAAACTTTTAGTTTTTTATTTTTTATTATTAAATGAGTAGAAATAAACTAATCTTTTTTCAAGTTACTCAATTGAGAGTATAGTACACTCAAGAAACAAAGGAAACCCATTATGGTTAGTTTATTCTCACTATTCTCATTAGTAGGATTTGATGGACGGTCTATCCTATCTAGACATTTTATTACCAAAAGATAGCCTTACGTTTTGTAAAATTTTCTTTATAAATTCAGGATAGACTTAAGATTTTATATTAAAATGATGATCTTTTAAAATTTTAGATGGTGATTAATTTATAAAATTTTATTAATAAAATTAAATTATCAATTGAAAATCTAAAAAAAATATCTAAAATATATACTAATTTAAAATTTTCATGAGAGAAACTGTCTCCACATGTCCCCTTGATCCATTCCGACTATAATCGTTGAAGCGCTAGAGGGTAATCATGATCGAGAGCATAAGTTGTGGTACTTGGTCATCAACATAAGCTTCTTCTTGAATTTCTCTCTGAAATATGTCTGCCAACAGTTTCTTGAGCTAAAGTTGTTGTAACAAGCAATTCTTCACAAACCCTTGGTGTTGTTAGAACATGTTGAGATTTTTTACTATTGCAGGAGGCAATGCCAATAACAACCGTCTCAAGCTTGGACTTGGAATAGCCGGTGCAGGTGCAGGTTCAACAATTGCCTGTATACTAATTGGAATCGGAATTTTACGTTTCCGGCAACGACGGCAAAAGAAAATCGCAGCCCAGGTTACGAGCAGAGACCTTCTAACATCTCAATCAACTTCCACATCTCAATCCAATTCTTCATACTCCACTTCAAAATGTGACATTGAAAGAGGAAGCACTTACTTTGGTGCCCATGTTTTTAGCTATGAAGAACTTCAGGAAGCCTCTAATAATTTCAGTTCTTCTAAACAACTTGGAGAAGGTGGTTTTGGCACTGTTTATTACGGTATGAATCTTAATTGTGTTCGATATATAATTATTTACTCATCCCGATCTTAACTTGATTTTATATGTGTTCGAATCAGTTCTACTTTCCATTTTATTTAACCTTAAAAACACCATTTTACATTTGATTTGCTTGATTAGGTGAACTCAGGGATGGTCGTATAGTGGCGATTAAGCGCTTATACGATAACAATTTCAAGCGTGTAGATCGGTACATGAACGAAATCGAAATCCTCACTCGCATTCGTCATCCGAATCTCGTGATACTCTATGGATGTACCTCTAGACGTAGTCGAGAGCTTCTCCTTGTTTATGAGTACATTCCGAATGGAACCTTGGCTGATCATTTGCACGGAAAGAGATCGAACTCCGGTTCGCTTACTTGGCATGTTCGTTTGAGCATCGCCGTCGAGGCGGCACTGGCATTGGCTTACCTCCATGCATCGGAGATCATACACCGTGACGTTAAATCGAATAACATTCTCTTGGACAACAATTTCCATGTGAAAGTGGCTGATTTCGGGTTGTCACGATTGTTTCCTAACGATGTTACGCACATCTCGACTGCTCCGCAAGGCACCCCAGGTTACGTCGACCCGGAGTATCACCAATGCTACCAACTTACCGAGAAGAGCGACGTGTATAGCTTCGGAGTTGTCCTGATCGAGCTAGTTTCGGCGAAACAAGCAGTGGACATCCACAGGCATCGACATGACATAAATTTGGCTAGCATGGCAATCAGCAGAATCCAAAATCAGGCGTTGCATGAACTGGTTGATCCGTCTCTCGGATTCGAGGATGATTGTGACTTGAAAAACACGGTAACGGCGGTGGCGGAACTGGCGTTTCGCTGTTTGCAACAGGAGAGGGAGATGAGGCCATCCATGGAAGAAGTGTTGGCGACATTGAAAGAGATTGAGGATGGGGGATCAGAAGCTGAAGTGGTGGCTAGTAGATCGGATGATGTTGGAGCGTCGAAGAGCATTCCTCCTCCACTTTCCCCGGATTATGAGACGGATAAATGGGTTAGCTTCTTCTCTACTATCACTACCTCCTAAAGTGGTGGATATTAGATCATAGCCATATCCATACAGAAAAGGGAAAACAAATGGAAACCTAATTTCCCTTCATTTTTTTTCTTCTTACAGGTACAGATAAGATCGATGTAATCCTGAGTTTTCTGCAAATGAACATGAATTCTCTTAGGAGTTTTCTACTGTAGAAAGGGAAATACTTGCTCAAATTCCATCAGCAAAACTGAACTGCTCTGGTTAGAGGAATTGGGAAATAATTCAGAGGATGCGCTGCTCTACTGGAACAGCATTACCTTGTAAATTGTAGTGATGTAACAAATATCATCTTCTATTTTGAACTCAATTTCCCCATTTACATATTTCCCCCCCCACGTCGTGCATGGAAACTGAAGCACACTTTTATTTCCCCCACTCGGTATGTGGATCCGATCCAGGCAATCAAGCTTTACTCTAAAACATTCAAACAAACAAATGATCACCTCTTTGGTCATTGAATTATTATTATTATTTTTATTAGTTTAAAAGGATTATAAGACAATATTTATTTAAATTTTTCTAGTGATACATTTACATTTTTTAATTTAAAATCTTAAAAAAATATATATTCCTTTTTAATCCAAACCCACTTGATGGGTTTATTAAATTATTATTCATAGAAATAGTTATATTTTATTTTCTCTGCCTATCTGTAATTTCACCAAACTTTCCTCTTTTGTTTTAAGACTTAAATGTGTTGCGTGGGTGACTGATAATTGCGCTGACAAATCAATGGGAGAGCATTTGAAGGAATTCGTGGATGAGACCGCTTGGTACAACAGCCTTGTGTTGGCAAGCCTTTTGCCTTCAAAGCTTTGGGATCCGCTTCCCCATATCTGCCAAACTTGGCTGCGAAACTGCATTACCGGCAATTTGCTTTATGTCATCTCTGGTTTCCTTTGGTGCTTCTATATCTGTGTGTGTGTGTATGTATGTGAAGCTGGACTATTTCATTTACTATTTTTTTGTAGTATGTTTTATGTTTGAATTTGCATATGATATAGTCTAGTAAAGGACTTGGGAGTTCTTTTATGTGTGAACAGTTTCTGATATTGATTTAGCCTCCTTTTTAATTGCTTCAACCTTTTTACCTGTGATCATAAGTCAAAGAAGTATCCGTGTTGGATTCTCTCTCTAAATTTATAACAGTCAGGGATGGGAATCCAATCAATGATTAAATATATGTATAAAATGATTTATGATCACTGTCTTACTATTTGTGATCCATGTCGCTCACACTCTGGTTAGTGTCGGATATGGTTATATTCTAAGATCGTCTTAGTATTTTACAAAAGAATGAAGAATCTGATAACATATTATTTTACAGCCCTACCGTTGTTTGTTGACTCCTGCATCCCACCACGTTTTTCCAAGCCTTGAGAAAGTTCCATGCAACTTCATATGGCTGAATGCGCGTTTAAGTGTCTCCATCTTTAGTTTCCTTTGTTTCGTTTTTCTCCCTACACTCCGAACACTTCCCGTCCTCATTTACATTTAATAGCAACTGTGACTCGCCGGACACGACACGGCCCAGACTTTGGAAAATATATACCACACTCAAAGTCTCTTTAAGTCAACTCAACTGCTCTCTATTCCAAATTCTCTCTACCCTTTCTTCTTTTTTCACTTTCGGTTTCCTTCAAATTCCACAAGAGCTGAGCTGAGCTTAGCAAAGCAAAGCAGAGGCAATCAAACCTTTCTTCCATCTCTGCTCTGACAAACAAAATGACTTGCCTTTCTTTCTCATCGTCTCTTCCTACTCTTATGTTTTCCCTATTGTTCTTCATGTCTGGTTTTCCTGTTTCACACAGCAATCCTGAAATTTACCTACACTGCCACGATGCATTGTTCGAATGTGGGAAAATCTCCGTCGGATATCCTTTCTTCGGAGGTAATCGAGGACGAGAGTGCGGGCTACCTGGTTTGGAGCTTCTCTGTCACGATGCTACTGATACTACCACCATTGAAATCGCTGGTGTAAAATATCAGGTGCTGGACATCAGCCGCGAACGCCAAACCCTAACGATTGTGAGGGAGGATTTGTTCAAACATGACTTTTGTAGACTTCAAACACCAATCCGAGATTTCGTTATGGATTCAGAGCTGTTTGATCCTGCTCCTGGATATACCACCAATGTTACCCTGTCTTATGACTGCCCATCTTCAGTCCCGTCGAATCTTGGGCTCTTCCATTGCGATGATTCAAAATACAACAGTGTTTCCGTAACTACAGATGTTGTCGGCGCAGATGGATGTTCAGCTCGTGTTACTTTTCCGATTGCCAATCCTTCCGGGGGAAGATTTCAGTTTCACAACGAATCTCACCTGCTTTCAGAGGCATTGAAAAAAGGGTTCAAGGTGAAATGGAAGAAGTATACCCCAACAAATGGTGGAAACACGTATAGCCAAGGTACGCACCTTCCACTTTTACACCTAAATAAGTTGTTCTAGAATTATGGTTACTATTTTCGTTTTAAAATAATAGATTTAAACTGACGCGTTACTCAAAATCGACATGGTAATCTTATAACTACAATACAAAATATAAATTAAGGGATGAATTTCTATTTAGGTTTTATATTTTTGGATAAAGTACACAAATGGTTCCTCAACTATAGAGTATAGTTTTATTGAGTATTTCAACTATTAAAAGTTATAAAATGGTCTCTTGACTATAGGGCATTCCTTTTTTAATTCTCCCGACTATTAAAAGTTACAAAATAGTCATCCAACTATTCATTGCATTCCAACTCGTCCTTTTTCGTTAAAAAATTGATGGTAATTTGAGTTTGACGTTAACATGTTGACTGAGATATAATAGTCAAAGGACGAATTTGGAATACAATGAATTGTCAAATGACTATTTTGTAACTTTTTAATAGTCGAGGGACTTAAAAAACAATCTTATATTCGGTAGACTATTTTATAACTTTTAATAATCTGAAGACTTAATAAAACAATATCATATAGTTGGAGGATCATTTATATACTTTATCATATATTTTTTATTAAATCAATTATAAAATAATATTTATTCTAAACATTCTTAATTATTTAATATGAACGTTAAATCTTCTTTACTACAGTTATTTGTGTTTATCAAATTATTATTATTTCTAAATTATAATTATTTTATCAAATTTCAATATTGAAAATTTCTTTCTAAAAGTATTTATCCAAACAAAACAAATACAATTACTAGTATTTTAAATTGATAAATTTAAAAATATTGTCTGTTTTATTTTACAGGTTCCAGTTCCACTTCAAAGTTGCAATGGAATCCAATCACAGGTATGAAACTATTTAACGTGCCATATTTACAACAAAATTTAGAAATATTATGAGTGATTTTTTTTATAGAAATTTGCTAGTTTTATTAAAAGTAGAAAATATTAAAAATTACAATAAAGATTTACAAACATAATCGTAAACCTAAAATATAATTATGATATTTTTTTATTACCATTGAGACAAAAACTAACCACCTAGATCACATAAGGACTAAGGAAGGAAAATGTTAAAAAACTTAACAAAAAACTCAAATAAAATAGAGATAGGAACAAATCTGACTGCATCGGTAAACAAACTACAAAAGATGATGAAGCTATTGAAAGACCACCGACAAATCGTAAATCAGAGTCAAACGATGTGAGAAAACTATCTACGAACGCAAAACGCGTATCCAAATCAATCCAAGGGTCCAAAACAGGGAAGATCATCATGATAACAAATAAGTGCTATTTTGATCAGTTGTGGCGATGTCAAATCCAACAATGAGAAAAAAGATAAACAAAAACAACGGCAAAAAATCGTAAGCTATCAAAAAACAAAGAAAAACATGCCACAAAGACAGAGATAAATGTGTCATAAAGGCATACAATATAATTATTCTTATTAAAAAATTGTAAAAGAAAAAAAAATAACCGGCAGGCGACAATCAACATTAAAATCGATGCCGTCATCGGTTAAAAAAATTAAGAAAAAAAAAGTTGAATTGATCAATAAAATTGATACAAATTGTAAAGAAAAAAAAAGGAAAAGAGAGAAGCACGAAGAAAACGATTAGTTTTTTTTATGAGGAAATTTTTAAAGAAGGGCAGGTGTTGAAAAATTAATTTGAGATTTACACTTATTTAATGGTCATATTTATTAAATTATTTGTTATAATGTACGTGAAATTTTTAAAGTGTAGAAATGAGGAATTTTAAGCACACTAAAACAAATGGTCCAAATTTCAAATTAATTTTCGACACTTACATTTCTCAAAATTTTAATTCGTTTGAATTATTTGGCTAAAGCTATAATCTTATTTAACAAAAGTTTTATAATTTCTTTTGTGTAGTTTAATTATTAAATGATTTAAAGAGTAATAATTTCTTAGATGTTTTTTATGAAGTTAATTGACCGATTTAATCTTCAGTCATAACAGGATTGGCTGTCAGTGTAAGTGTTGTTGCTACTATATCAGTCCTGTGGTTCAAAAGAGACTCGTTATCAAATCATTTCTTCCATGGAAAGATGAAAGACAATACTACGATTGAGGCATTCATCACAAATTTCGGTTCCTTTGCTCCCAAGCGATATTCTTATGGAGAAGTCAAGAAAATGACAGATAAATTTACCCATAAATTAGGTCAAGGAGGATTCGGCAGTGTGTACAAAGGCAAGTTATCCGACGGTCGTTCCGTGGCGGTCAAGGTCTTAAGTGAATCCAAGGGAAATGGAGAGGATTTCATCAATGAAGTTGCTAGCATTAGCAGAACTTCTCATGTTAATGTAGTGACTTTACTCGGTTTTTGTTTCGAGGGATCGAAGAGAACGTTGATCTACGAATTCATGCCTAACGGATCATTGGACAAGTTCATTTATAACAAGGGATCGGATAACCAAAGTCGTCAGCAACGGCGATTAGAGTGGAAAACTTTGTACGACATTGCACTCGGCATCGCCAAAGGACTCGAATACTTGCATCAAGGTTGTAACACAAGGATCTTGCACTTCGACATAAAGCCGCATAACATCCTTTTAGACGAAAACTTCTGTCCCAAGATATCTGACTTCGGATTGTCGAAGTTATGCGAAACGAAGGAGAGTGTTGTGTCCATGGCATGCGCTAGAGGAACGATCGGATATATTGCACCAGAAGTATTTTGCAGAAACTTTGGTGGAGTTTCTTATAAATCTGATGTGTATAGCTATGGAATGATGATCCTTGAAATGATCGGAGGAAGAAAAAATATCGATGCTGAAGCGTCTCGAACCAGCGAAGTATATTTTCCGACATGGATTTATAGGCATCTTGATCAATCTATGTGCTTGAATCTTGAGGGGTCGTTGTTGAAGAGGAGGAAGAAGTAACAAAGAAGCTGAGTATAGTTGGCCTT